CAGACGGCTTAATTAATTTAATTTAAAACAATTTTCTTTTTTGAGACACGGTCTTACTATGTAGCCTTGCCTGGCATGAAACTTGCTGTGTAGACCAGACAGGCCGCAAACTTGGAGAAATCCACCTGCTTCTTTTTCCAGGCTACTGGGATTAAAGGAATGACCAATGTGCCCTCCTTCAAGAGGCTTTTTATGATTTTTTTAAAAGATGTTTTGCTGAATTTATCCCTTTGATAGAAAAGACAGTACGTTTTGCTCATTTTTCCCCACAGTGTGGTCCAGCAGTCCTATGGATCGAATGTGTTATAGTTTTGAATCTGAAATGCTTCCCATGGTCTCGTTTCTGAAGGCTTGATCTCCATCTGGGTAGTGGTACTGGTTTGTTTGGTTTTGTTTTGGGGGCGGAGCCTGTGGAACCATTAGGACATAGGTCCTATCTGATGGAAGCTGGTCACAAGGGACAGCCTCTGAAGTTTTATCTGCCCATGAACATGGTTATCTTTGTGATCTCTGCTTCCTGTTCTGCTATGGTGTGAACAGCCTCCATCACAGTCTGTAGCTGTGGAATAGTCCTTCTGTACTCTGTGATTATGTATTACTCTTAATAAAAAACTGGTTAATAAAAAACTGATTGACCTGTTGCAAGGTAGAATAAGGCTAGGCAGGAAAGTCAAATTGAAAACGCTGGGAGGAAGAAGGGCAGAGTCAGAGAGACTCGAGCCAGCTGCCCAGGAAGCAAAGTGTGCTAGAGAGGACAGGTAAAGCCATGAGCCTTTGATTAATAGAAATGAGTTAATTTAAATGTAAGAGTTGGCTAGTAATAAGCCTGAGCTATTGGCTAAGCATTTGTAATTAATATAAGACTCTGTGTGTTTATTTGGAATCAGGTGGTCAAGACAGAAAACCTCAGCCTTCCCCTCTTGTTCTGCTGTGGTGTGAACAGCCTCTATCACACTCTGTTTATGCTGTGCCCTCCCTTGCAGAGGTAGAATAAAAACATGAGAAAATAAGCCTTCCCTCTATATAGTTGTCTTTGTCAGTATTCTGGTCACAGCTACATGAAAGTGTCTAGTACTGTATATGAGCAAAAGAAATTAAATCATAGCAAAGAGATACTTGCATACCCATGTCGACTGTGACATGATTCACAATAGCTGAGATATGGAATCAGCCTAGGTGTTTATCCATGGAAAAGGGGGTAAATAAAATATGAGGTCAGGTTAGAAAGATGGCGCAACAGTTAAGATCATTGGCTGATCTTCCAGAGGACCCAGGTTTGATTCCCAGCACCCACATAGCAACTCACAACTATCTGTCACTTCAATTCTAGCAGATCCAATGCCATCTCCTGTTTTCCAAGGGCACCAGGTGTGAATGTGATGTAAGACATATCTGCAAGCAAAGCACCCATTTATGTAAAATTTATTAATTTTTAGAAATTAAAAAAATACTGTGTATTGACACTATGGAATACTATTCAGTCATAAAGATACATTAAATCTTGTCATTTGTAGGAAATAACTATTGGTAATAAGCCAAGAATAGACAGATGTGCTTTCTCATTTGTAGAAGCTAGAACAAGTTTGCCTGGGGCCTGCAAAATGGGTCAGCAGATAAAGACGCTTGCCACCAGACCTCACAACTTGAGATTGGTCCCCAGACTCACATGGCAGAATGAGGGCATGATTCCTGACCTCCACATCCACATATGTGCATATGAGTACACATGATCCTCCCAATATATGTGAGTGTCCATGTGTGTGTGTGTGCACGCACATGTGAGTGTATACATGCATAAATTTAAGTCCATCTGAATATAGAATGTTGGGAAGGAGATGGTGGATAAAGAGAGCCTGGATCAGATTAGTGCATGTGATGGTGTGATGGTTTGAAAGAAGATGGCCCCCAGAGGGAGTGGCACTATTAGAAGGTATGACCTTGTTGGAGGAAGTGTGTCACTGTGGGAGTGGGCTTTGAGGTCTCCTTTTCTCTAGCTTCCCTCAGTGAGACAACCAGTTAACTTCCTGTTGCCTGCAAGATGCAGTGTAATGGATTAATTAAAAAATGCTGTGGTATCTCCAGCAGTTGCAGAGGTAGAAATGCTGTAGGTCACCGGGCAGCGGCAGGCAGCCAGCCATGCAGTGGCAGACAAGGGGTAGCAGGTCCCTAGAGCAGCCAGTCCCAGACAGGGATGATTCAGGAAACCACACTGCAATTCCTGGGAGGTGAGCCATATGGCAGCGGCAGGCGAGGGACAGATAGGCACACCATGCAGAGTGTGGTTGGATATTTATTTAGTGGGGAGAAGGAGAAGAGGAGAGAGAGAGAGAGAGAGAGAGAGAGAGAGAGAGAGAAGGGAGAGACAGAAGCTGCCTCTCAGAGAGAGAGAGACAGAAAAAGGAGAGACTCAGGCTGCAGGCAGGAAGGAAGATCTGCCTGCCTCAGCAGATGGGGGGAGGGATGGGGGGAGGGAGTGGGCATGGCTTGACTCTTAAAGAGATAGGACAGACCATTACATGCAGGACTCTCAGCTCCAGTACCATGTCTGCCTGCACGCTGCCCTGCTTCCCTTCCTGATCATAATGGACTGAGCCTCTGAAACTGTAAGCGAGAACCCTCAGTTAAATGCTTTCTTTATAAAAGTTGCCATGGTCATGGTGTCTCCTCACAGCAATAAAATCCCTAGCCAAGACAGATGGAGTAATGCCACACTGAACTCCAGTTTATATATGCTAGTAAGTGATAACATAGCTTTTAATATGTGGAACTGGGGGTTGGGAAGATGTCTCAATGGTAAAATGCTTGCCACAAAAGTGTGAGGATCTAGTTTGAATCCCAGAACCCGCATACAGTCACATACTGTGGTGTGTCTGTGATCCAGGACTTGCAGTGAGACAGGTGGTGGAGACAGAACCTCAGAAGCTCTTTGGTAGCAGGCCTGGTGTGCACGCGGCAAACACGGTGAAAGGTGAGGCCTGGCAGCCAAGATTATCCTCTTGCCTCTACACCTGTGCTGTGGCATGAATGGACCTGCACTCACACACGAGTACACTTACACACTGCCGACGCTCACACACACACACACACACACACACACACACACACACACACACACCAATAAAATAAAACTAAGAAAAAGAAATAAAGAGGGCTGGAGAGATGGTTCAGAGGTTATGAGCACTGACTGCTCTCCTAGAGGTCCTGAGTTCAATTCCCAGCACCCACACAGTGGCTCACAGCCATCTATGATGAGACCCAATGCTCTCTTCTGGTGTGCAGACAAAATGTAGACTGAAAATGGTATGCACAATAAATAAATAAATCTTTAAAAAAGAAAGAAAGGAAGGAAGGAAGGAAGGAAGGAAGAAAGAAAGAAAGGAAGGAAGGAAGGAAGGAAGCATAGTTCTCAGACCAGGAATTTTATTCAGTGGATCCGAGGAACAGTCAGTGGTGAAGCCAGGGTGCTGAACTCACCCGAGGGGCGTGAAAAACAAAGGTGTATTTAAGAGAACTTTAAGGGCAAGCTTCACTCTGAAACTATAAGTTCATTAGTAGGAGCGCTAGCCTAGAGGCCCTGGGTGTGAACCACGTACTGCAGAAATAGAGACCTAGGAAGATGGAGGGAGGGACAAAGGAAGGAAGGAGGAACACTGGGACCATTGGGCGTCCTGGCCGCCAGCTGCTCTTCCCTGCTGGAGAGCTTTACTTTCCTTCTGATTTGAGTTACTGAATGTGTCAAAGTTGTTTACCAGCTCTGCTTCACGAGCACGTATTGCCTTGCCTTGAGGATCAGAGGATAAGGTTTTCACCTGTTGGCCCACCTGACTGTTGAGTATATAAGCCTCTGTGGTGCTATTGAATAAAGGGCTTCTAGAAACTAGGAAATGCGGAGAGCCCTCTGATGGTGAGGGTGGATTGGGGAATGTGTTAATCCTGACGTCCTTCCCTGGGGTTTCTGTTCCAGGCCTAGCAGGCGGCAGAGGAAAGGGAGGGAGGAGAAAAGGGAAGGAAGGAGGGAAGGAGGGAGGGAGGGAGACATCTGTTTTATAAAGGATGGAACAATTAAAAAAAAGTTAGGAACCAAAACCAAAACCATTCAGCACGGAAGTGGAGCACCACTTTAATACCAGCATTTGAGGAAGAGGCAAGTAGATCTCTGTGAGTCTGAGGTTGTCCTGATCTACACAGAGACTTCCAGACCAGCCAGAGATATATAGTGAGATCCTGTCTCGAATAAAATTAATTTGATGTTTATTACATGAAGACAGGAAACTTAAGAATGCCTTTTGCTTTGTAACAGAACTTTCTGAACTGTTAGGTTATAGTACTTTGTATTTGTATTTTCAAATATTAATGTGTTATTTGAGCAGTGAAGGTGTAGCTTATTGTGTTTTCTTTTTTAAAATGCTTTTGATTCTGTGGTGTGTGTGTGTGTGTGTGTGTTACTGTTAACTGAACCCAGGCCCTCATGCATCCTTGGTCAGCACTGTACCACTGAGCTACATCCCTAACTCTTTTGTATTATTTGTGTTCTTTTGAGAAAGTGTCATTGAGTACCCTGCTCGTCTTACCCCCACTCTGCAGCTGAGGCTTTCAGCTTGTGCTCCTCCTCAGCCTCGTAAGTAGCTGGGATGGCAGGCTTGGGGCACCAGGACTTGTTTCATTCATTCATTCATGCATGCATGCAAGCATGCGTGCATCCTGTGTGTACATGGCAGGGGGTGCTCATGCCACTATGTGCACCTCGAGGTCAGAGGACAACTCGCAGGAATCAGTTCTCTCTTTCTACCATGTGAGTTCTGGGGACCAAACTCAGGTCACCGGGCTTGGTGGCAAGTGCCTTTACCCACTGAGCCATCATTCTGGCCTCTGCTTGCATTCGCGAAAATATATAATTTTATATATTTATAAATAAATATTAAAATATCTTAAATACGTTTAGAACAGGAATTAATTCACTCTAAGAACATCTTACATGAAAAGATGACTATCAAACGATCTTTCAAAAATATTTATTCCAAGTAAAAATTCATACAAAGTGGTATATACAGGAAGACAGCATCAGGTAAGATAATTCCAGGGGGGCGGGGGGCTTGAGAAGCACAGCCCTTGGGCTATCAAAATGATAACATTCAAAGTAATTTTACATAAGATACTTTAATGAAAAATAGTGCCATTCCACGCAAATAATGAGACCATGCTGGCCACCAAGTAAGAGAAAATGAACCCTTTACAACTTATACACACGGCTCTTATTCAGCTCTCAGAAACACCTATTTTATCCACTAAAATGACCATATTTTCTTCCTTCTTATTCCGGTGGAAATTATTCAGTATTTCATTTTTTTGTTTGTTTTTACACAAGTAAAAGAACATTTTTTTCAGTCAGATATTGAGCAACCAAATAAACCCTTAAAATGGGAGTTAATATCTAAATGACTTGTGAAAGCAAGAATGACTGGATAGTGGGTCTCTGGGCAAGGGAGGGGTGGTGATCTTAGAGGGAGCAGCTTTCAGAGTGAGAGCTGGATGAGCTCAGGAAGTCTTCTTCCTGACAACAACCTGTGTTGACACACACCCAAAGGTACAGATCACACAGGCAGACACACACACACAGAATCACATACATGCACACACTCGACCTGGGTCCTGGCAAGGCTGCCCCCAGACTCACTTCACTTGCTGGAGCACTCATTGCCCCCTGCAAGCAGCTGACCCTTATCCCAGACACCATCCCTCCTTCCTTCCTATAGGCTTGCCAGCCCTCCTCTGCCCTTTCCTCCTGGGCCACTGCCCTGTCCTGCTGCCTCCTGGCTCTGCAGACGCTTGGGCTGTGCCTCCTCTTCTTGCTCCTCCTCGGAGTCTGACTCGGATTCATCGTTGTAGAAATGGATGGTGGCTTGCACTGGGAAGCTGGCCAGCACTTTTTCCCCAGAGCTCTGCAGGTACTCTTGTCGCTTTGAAAGGGGTAAGTAAAGCCTAATATTAAAGAAACAAAGAAACCATTAGCTCCTGACAAAAGCACTTAGTGCCCCCATTTCTGTCTCATTTTTGCCTGCTGTGCACATGATGCTTTTAAGTTACCAGAACACAGAACTGGTCACCTACTGAGAGACTAGCTAATAACCACTCCCACACTAGTCAACCGAGTCCCACAGCAAAGATATTAACCAAACTGGGCTCTAATCTTAAAAGGCCCACTCTCATCGGTTCGATGACCTGAACCCTCCTGGATAGGAAATGTCCCTTCCCCTGCGCACATTCACCTGGGAGGACAGGAATGGAACCGTCTGAGACCCTGGCCTGGAGGAGAAACTGACTGTTCCAGTGGTAAAGAGAACACTGGATCCTCCTCACCAGAAGGAAAAATGCACTTGGGGAAAGACATAAAGAGACAGAAGGAGAGAGAGGGAGGAAAGACGGAGAGGTGCAGAGGGAGGGAGGGAGGGAGGGGGAGTGAGAGGGAAGGGAGGGAAAAGAGAAAGGAGGAGGAGAAGAGAATAGAATGGAGGAAGGAGAAAGGGAGAGAGATAAGGGAGAGAAAGAAGAAGGAAAAGTTTAAATACATACAAACTGGAACGCCCAAGTTTCAAAATTTATAAAACTGGAGATTCCAGTTACTATGAAAAGTATTTTAAAATGGCACCAAAAACCTCTTAGTATTTCTCACTTATTAATTCATTTGCTCCTCCCTCCCCCAGGGTCTTCTGAGGAAGCAGAGTGTGTCAACTGATGGCTGCTGATTTTAGTTAGTGTCCCCTTTCCTGGTTAGAGGACAGGGAGAGAAAATCATCTGGTTATAGACTGTGTGGTGATGCTTAGCTTCCTGAGATTCTGGTGGGTCTGTGCCTCCCTGGCTCCAGCATCCTTGGCAACATCTGGACACATTTCTGACTAAGAAGAAGCTCCTGTGGGTTCTGGGCAGGAGCCGGAAGTGCTGCCAAACACCCTGCCCTGCTGGGGTTAGTCCCCACAGCACAGTCCTGCCCAGTCTATGGTGTCAGTATGGCGGGAGCCCTGCAGCAGACAGAGCATATGCCAAATGCATCAATGCAGGTAAAGCAGAAATATAAACAAGGTTTAGGCTGGTCCATGTTATAGTTAGGTGGTTAGTATTTGCAGGTGAGTTTGAAAGGCAAATAGAATTTGTCATATGACCAGTCCCAGCTTGTAACGAAACAGTAAATGCATGAAATCACGAACAGATTCCAGAAATAAAATATGTCCTTGAAACTCCTTGGTAAGGAAACAAAATAATAATAGATACTATATTTAATTCTCCACTTTGTTGAGAACGCTAATGTGTACTGATGTCTAGAGATCATTATGGTCTTTATATGCTTTTTACCGTGAAGTAGCAGCGTTTTACCTGACTGGGTGCTGGAACCCAAAGGCTCCCTTTGATCCTGAAGTTTGCTGACTCCCCCGAGGCTCACACTGTCAAGACAAACGTGTAGAAACACAGATGTAGTCAAGCATTTGCTGATGGTGCCATCCTGAAGCTTTAGAGGTCCAGTTGAAGTAGTCTGTACCCACTGCTAGCCAGACTAACATTTGCGGTTCAACATGTTAGTGTCTCACAGGTTCTACTTCCTGTTTATCCACAGTGGTCCAGGTACCATGTTGCGGTATGGTGTATTGGCATGTGTGTGTGTGCAAGCATGCTTGCTCATAAGTGTATGTGGAGACTAGAGGTCCATGGACAATTGTTTTCTGTCCCTCAAACAAAGGTTTTGTTTTGTTTATTTTTGTTTCTTTGGTTTTTTGAGGTTTCTCAGTGTAACCCTGATTGTTCTGGAACTCTCTCTGTAGACCATGATGGACCTGAACTCACAGAGATACACCTGCTTCTGCTCCCAAGTGCTGGGATTAAAGGTGAGCACCACCTCCTTCTGGCTTACCAACACAGTTTTTTTGAGGGAGAGTTGCTCACTGAACTTGGAGGTCACCTATTTAGCTAGACTGGTTTGCCAGCAAGCTCCATGGTTCTCCTGTCTCAGTCCTTGGTGCACCCCACACCAGGCTTTGCACATGGGTCCTGGGGATTAGAATTTAGGTCCTCATGATTGTAGCAATCGCTTTACCTACTGAGCCATCTCCCCAACTCTCAGGTCCTAGATTTTATATAGACGTGTGTGTGTATCTATGTGTGTGTATGTATGGGTAAATATATAGACATACATGTGTGTGTGTGTTTGCATGTGTATATGTATGGATATGTATGTATACACACATACACACACGAGAAAGAGAGAGAGAGAGAGAGAGAGAGAGAGAGAGAGAGAGAGAGAGAGGAAAGCAGAAGGGACAGAAGGGAGAGAAAGGAGACTAGTGGAAGGGGACACTATAGGGAAAATCAAAGGAAGGGAATATACATTTTGTATTTGGTTGGTCTCTGTGCTGTTCCATCCTGAGTGCATGCGTATGTATGTGCATGTGGTGTGTGCGTGTGCGTGTGCGTGTGTATGTGTGTAGCAATCTGTGAGCAAACTGACCTACAGGATGTCTCTGCAGATACTAACACCATGAAGCGCTCAGTGCAGAATTAAGTGGGGGTCTTTGGAACACAGTCCTTCACACTGATGCTGACCCTTCCGAACTACACGAAACAGCTTCCGGATTAAGTTCCTTGTAATTTTAAACAGTCCCTAAAGTGAGGCGGTCACGCTGCAAGCAAGCCCGTCCTGCTGCAGATGACTGTGGTGGGAACAGTGCGCACTGCGGTAGACTGCCAGCCACGCTGTTTCCTGCAAGCATCCTGTCCTCACTAGACTGAGGACCTGCAATGCCTGCTCATGAACTGAAGGAAACAACCCCACAAACATACGTGCTCTTAATTTTTTTATGCTACGTTTTCTTTTTCTTTTTTGACTTTTGAGACAGGGTCTCACTATGACGCCCAGGCTGGCCTCCAGTTGTCAGAGATCTTCCCAAGTGCTAGGATTCCAAGCATGAGCCACCACACCTGGCTTTCAGAAGGAGCTTAGTAAAAGACCGGTTCTCACAGGGGAAACATGGACACACGCACACCTTGGCGATTAAACGGGACTAGAAAGGTAAACCAGCTAAGCACCGTGCTTAAGGTGTGTGCGCCTTCTTAAGCTCGGAAGAACAGGCTGGAGCAGACTTCAGCCACAGACCTGACTGGAAGGCTATGGCGGGAAGCCTGGGTAGTAGGATGGGCCCTGGCAGTGTGGACAAGTGACAAGGACAGAAATGCACCGAGGCCAAGAAACCGCAAGGCCTGGGGCTGTCATGCTGCACAGCGATAGAACATATGTTTACCATCAGATATGCCAGTCCCCAGGCTCCATCCTCAAGACCAAAAAAAAAAAAAAAAAAAGGTTTTTTTAAAAGATTTGGTCTATCACCTTTACTCCAGTCCAGCAGAAGATACAGCTCTCTAGGGGCACCAAGTGAGTACAGGGAGCTCCTCTGATCAAAAAAGAAGGCCTTGTATCATATTTATGCCTTATTATAATTTCAATCTGCTTGCTGGGAGTCCCGGGACAGGTCATCAAACCTCAGTACCTCCCATAATCCTCTATACGATGGCATAGAGACTGGGGCTGAGGAGTTGTCCTGTTTGGCCAAGAGGGGGTGTTATTAGCCAGAAGCTCTGCAGTCCAAACACAATACACTCACCCCACTTGCTTGGGGGAGCCCGATGTATGGAGGCCTGCGGAGAAACAGGCTGTGACCAACGAAGAGTAAGCTTTCTCTTACCAGGGAATTTAGCTCCTGGTAAAGCTGGAACCCAGTGACAGCAGAAGACCCAGGGGTGGATCCCAAGACCCGCCCTGACAAGGGTGTGGGAAGGCAGTCAGTTCTATAACCCCTACAGAACACCAGGCTCCCCCACCCACCCAAATCCTGAATATAGCCGCTTTGTGTGGAGCACAGTCAGCTAGAAACGGCTGTGCCTTGCTTGATGTAATCATCACAAGAGGCGTTCTCATCAGAACAGAAGCAAAAGCTACCTGCCTGAGGCTGCCTGTCCTTAAGTACTCCCAGGCTCACACACAACTGAGTGACCCCACAGTCATGGTTCACCTAGAGGAAAGTCTAATCATTTGTGAGCTTCTCCTTTAAAATCTGACTTTTAAGAACTGGAGTCTGAACGCAATAGAATTCATTCTCCAATTTAGAAAATTGGAGCCATAATAATTAGGGCTAAAATATCACTTACTAGATTACTATCTTTTTATTTGCTTCATTCTTTAAGCAAATAAATACTAACTGAATTAAAGCACCCAATATACAAAGAAAATAACTTAACTGTAAAGGAGTCCAGAGGGCGACTTTGCCACCCCTAACTTTTCTTGTGCATATCTGTATGTTAAGCTGTATCCACAGGTGTTAGGTAAGTAAAATGCATGGTCCGCCCTCCTTAGTTTCAAAAGTCAATTTATATTGGAAAATATAGCAAATGTAGTCAAGTCATTACCTTAACCAGTTCAATGCAATTAAGTGATAGCGCACAGATAAAGGAATAGCTGTGGCAATTCACCTCTGCCTGCAGCTCTCTGCTTGAGTGTATTTGCACAGACAACAGTTCCTCCAGGAGCTCTTGAAGAAGGGGCCGAAAGTGCTTCTAAAGGGCCAGACGCTGGGTGGGGCTTTTATCTGCACCTTCTGGGCACTTGAGACAGATGTCTGCCTTCCTTTGCACTGTGACACCAGTGGCCCCGCTAATGTACACTCAGCTTTTCTCTAAGGGGGCTGGATTTTGCCTCTCCCCTTTCCACCAGCAGGTTTACAGAAGAACCAAGACACACCCCCACCCCATCCCCTCTGCTCCGTGAAATTACCTTGCCACAGCTATGGAGCCCAACGGGTCCCATTAGCGCCTCTGCTCACTGAGGCGCTACCTGCCAGACCTCCAGGCACTTCTGAGTTAGAACATGGAGTAGACCTTTCCTGGTTTTTTATTTTGTTTTTTTGATTACTATGGACATGGTGCCATTTTCTGGCTTGACAGTTACCTACAACATCCACAATTTAACTTACCCGGCTTCCAGTTCTGGTCAGCTCCGCATCTCCAGGAGGCAGCACCCACGGTCTCCACAGAGCTGGAACAGAACTGGAGACAGCACTGTGAGAGACTGAATCCCCAGCATTTCTATTGCCGCTTAAGACGTTACTATGAGAGTTTAGTGTCTGCTTGACAAAGAGGCCCTGCACACACCATGTTCCCTTAAGGTCTGTCTGAAGACGGGGTCCGCCAGTACCTTACCTGTCTGTTCCTGTCTCCTGCATAATTCTCTGCCTTCTGTTCCCATGGACACTCTGAGAAGGTAAGCCCCAAATCTAACACCATTATTGGGGCACATGTTAGTCGAGTTATTTTTCTTCCAGCTAAGCTCTCATTGATACTTCAAGATTTCCCATTACAGCTGTTTGGTTTCAACTACATCACCCCTGCCATGGAAGGCTCTTGATGCTACAGCGTTCTATCATGCCAAAAGGCAATCTGTCTCTCCATCACCAAGGAGTGCCCTCCCTACCTCCCCAACTAATCTGATCTCTTTAAACTTCACACCTTTAAAGACAGTTGCGTCCCAAGAATGGGCAAACACTGAGTCCCAGGACAGAGGAAAGAGGTAGTCGCTTAGTGATAGAGCGCAGGATCCTTTTGCAAGTTTCGCATAGAGCCCCCCAGCTTCCAGTGTTTTCCAGCTAGATCAATTTCAGATCTCAATACGCACAAGCGTTGGCCCATTTCCTTGCCAGGAGTCCGCAGAGGTTCCTGCATTTCAGACAGGAGTTTTGCAGTAGTCTGTCTCAGGCTAAGGAACTCGCACTGAGTCAGGGCGCACCTCCACCGGGGCCGCAGAGACACCCTCACCTTTCGGGCCCGTGCGGCAGCGGCGGCCTCCTGGGATCACCCCCGGGACAGTGGCAGAAGCTTCCCAGCGCCTCCCGGGCTCCGGCCGCCGCCTCAGGTCTCATGGTGCGGGCGGCACGCGAGTCCCGCAGCCCGACGGCGTCTAGTCCCGCCGGCTGAGCGTGCTCACCTAGCCTCTTGCTCCGCGCCAGGTTTAAAAACAGGGGCGGGGCGGGGAGGGCATTCGGGGAAACTGCGCACACCACCCCCCGGGTGGGGGAGGGCTGGGGGACGGCAGGACGGGGTCAGAGGAAGCGGAGGGTGGAGTGGAGATTCTCAAGGAAGACGCGGGGAGGGATGGGTGTCCAGAGTGGAGAAGGGACAAAAGAAAACCCGGAGGGGTCACGGCGGAGCGGGAAGCTCAGGACCGGACAGGCCGCCAGCAGGGCCCTCCAGGATGACGGGTGGCGTTGGCGAGCCCTCGAGGTCGTCCCCACTGCCCAGCAGCTCTTGACTGCCCTCGGGGTTCTGATCCCATCCAGGAGGATCCCATCTCGCCTCCCCACCCACTCCCGGTTCCCCCAGTGTCTCCCTTTCCACACTGAAAGACGTTGTGGGTGTGGGTCAGAGTCCTTTACACACTGGATTAAACTGTGGGTTCAATGGAGGACCCTGTAGGGTAGGCAAAAGATAAGATGGCACAGAGGGCAGTAAAGTGTCATGGATTTAAAAAAAAAATAGTAAAGTATCTAGATGTGCTTTTTAAGTTTGATAACGCATATCTGTTAGCCCAAAAGTTAGACTTCAATTCAGTACTAAAGACATCTTTTGAAGAGAGAATGAAAATATATCTAATTGTAGTCATTTACACAGCTAATAAAAATACACTCACGTTAAACTGGGCGGTGGTGGCGCACTCCTTTAATCCCAGCACTTGGGAGGCAGAGACATGTGGATCTCTGAGTTTGAGGCCAACCTGATCTGCAGAATGAGTTCCAGGACATCCAGGGCTACACAGAGAAACCCTGTCTTGAAAAACCGAAATAAATAAATAAATAAGCAATTCGTGTAGATCTTTTATTTTCTGTCGTCATCCTGTGAATACAATCCAGGGCCTTTACAGAGTTCCTGACGCTATGGGAAAATAGATACAAGGTGTTTTAAATTATTATTTTAGATTTATTCATTTTAGTGTGTGTGTGTGTGTGTGTGTGTGTGTGTGTGTGTGTGTTGCCTGCCTGTGTGTGTGTGACCTTTCGCATGCTTGTGGAACTGGAGTTACCTGTAGCTGTGAGCTGCCATGTGGGGGCTGGGAATCCCCAGGTGCTGTGCAGAGCACATGAGCTCTTAACTAGTGAGCCTCCTCTCTGTCCCCTGGATGCGGGGTTTAAAAGGCCAGCAGTGGTTTCTGAGAGGCTACTAAGGATTTGTTTGTTCTTACATTTATTTATTTATGCACGTGGCAAGCATGTGGAGGTTGGAGGGCAGCTCGTGGGAGTCCATTCTCTCTGTCCCCCATGTGGATTCTGGGAGCAAACTCAGGCTGTCCAGTTTCACGGCAAGCTTCGTTATCCGCTGAGTTATTCTGTAGGCTCAGGTTCCTAAGGATTTTGAAGGACTTTTCAAATATTCAACAGTGAATATATTACTTTTTACTGTGGCAAAACAGAATACAAGTTTACCGTTTTAATCACTTTCCAATATGCATTTAAGCAGGTGACGTGATGTCCCCTCATCTGGCCTTTCAACACTACTTCATCTCCAGAACCTTCCATCATCCTGCCGGGAAGCTGTCTCTGCTAAATCACTTCAGGCTCCCCTCCCCCACCTTGGTAACCACTACAGATTCCTGTGTCTATAAATGGAACCCTCGTGTCCCTTTGGGATGCACTTCCTCGTGCTGTCATCCTCAGCCCAAGCCTACAAATGAGGCTTTACCCACAGTGTGGTCGAACAAAGTGCAGGTCGAACAAACTCCTTCGCAGGGTCTGGAGGGACAGCTCAGAGGTTAGGAGCCTGTGACTGACCTTGTCGGGGACCAGAGCTGTTTTCAAGTAGTCATATCAGGTGATTCTCAACAGGCTGTAACTCTCGGGCTTCAGGGGATCCAATGCCCTCTTCTGCCTCTGTGGGCGTCTGCACTCCCGGGTACATACCTGCTTTCCGGACGCACAGGCAAACATAATAGTTTAAAAGGTAGAAAACACTGGCAATCAGAGATTAAATAAGATACGCAAAATCACTGCTGAGAGAGCCAGGATTGAACAGCACTAAAGCTGAATGCCAAGGCAAAAGGCACAGCGCTGGCACGCGGTGGCATGTCGTCTTCACTCTTCGTCGTTACTTTCTTACCGATGCTAAGAGAAATGTCAGATCTCCATGGTCAAAGCTTGGGCAGTTTGAGTAACAGAATATCTGCTTATGGTTCAAGGTATAAAATAGACATCCATAAGTTCTTACTTACATCAATATATGCTGATTAAATAAAAATTTGAAAATACGTGAAGGAAAGAGAAGACACAGGGACAGGAGGTCCAAGTGTCCCAGTGGTTTCTGCAAATGACTGACTCTCAAGGCAAACATAACTAGTCAAGCTCAACCTCCATGTGCTTCACAGGTTGTGTTTAACAGAGCAGCTCCGTGGAGGCAGGTTTGCGTCAGTGAGCGACGAGTGGCTTTATCCACTGAGTCGTCTTGCTGGCCCAACAATGTGTGATTTTTATTGTTGTTTGTTTGTTTTTGAGACAGGGTCTCTCTACATAGCCCTGGCTGTTCTGGAACTCACTATGTAGACAAGGTTGGTCTCAACTCATGAAGATCTTCCTTCCCTTCCCTCCTGAATGCTGGGATACAATTACATCATTTCCCCCTCCCTTTCCCTCCTTCCAAATCCTCTCATGTACTGCCCCTTGCTCTCTTTCAAATTCATGACTTCTTATTCTTTCCTTCCTTCCTTCCTTCCTTCCTTCCTCCCTTCCTTCCTTCCTTCCTTTCTTTTTATCTTCTTCTTTTTTGTTTTTGTTTTTGAGACAGGATTTCTCTGTGTAGCCCTGACTGCCTTCTATAAACCTGACTCTCTCTATAGACCTGTCTGGCCTTGAACTCAGAGAGATCCACCTGCCTCTGCCTTCTGAGTGCTGAGCTTAAAGGCGTGAGCCACCACCTCCCAGCCAACTTTTTTTCCTTTAATTGTGACACACACACATAAATATAACCTACTTAGTATTTATAAATGTCATTTGTCTGTATGTTTTCAGAGCTGACCACTTGGTATTAGTAATCAATTGGTGTGCTTTTCCCTGGGGACAACTTTTTCTCCCCTTCTCAGCCTTCCTGAGTTGCCTGTGGTTCTTTGTCTAGGGTGGAGACCTCATGAGCTCCCTGCAGCTGTCATGTTATCATGTCTATTGGTGTCGTCCTTGTTCAGGTCGCCTGTACACAGGCCTGCTGATGAGACTTCGTGACTGTAGCTTCTGACGTTTCTGTGGGATACAGTCTCACAGCAAACCCCCTTTCCCTCCGATTCTTACAGTCTGCTCATTTTGAAACTATCCCTAAGCCTTAGGCCCAGGGCTTGGGTTGTAGATGCGTCAGCTGGAGCTGGGCACAACTGTACTTTGGTTGATGGTGGATTCCATCTGTTGCAAAGAGAAGGCTCCTTGATGGGGGGTTATTTTTATTTTCTATGATGAATGTTTTCCCTCCATGTGTGATTGGCACCACGTGAACAACGGGTCCCACCGAGGCCTGAAGAGGGTGTCACGTTCCTGTAACTGGAGACGTATTTGGTTGTGAGCCACCTAGTGGGCGCTGGGAACCTGGGTTCTTTGCAAGAGCATCTGGTGCTCTTTGTTTTTGAGCCTTGATCTAGCACCCCATTTCTCTCTTTCTTGTTTGTTTTTGAGCTCATTCTATAGATACAGAGATTAAAATACAGAAGGAGGCTGGGGTGTAGCTTAGGGATAAGTTGCTTAGCATTCAAGAGGCCCTAGGTTGGTTCCATTGGATTTCCAATCCTGTGAAATATACAAACAAATTACAGCAAAAGAAACAACCTACAATTAAAGTCACTGAGAATGTAAAGGCCTTTGGTGTTTCAGAGTTTCCGAGTACAATAACTTCCCAAACTTTGAGTCCAGGGCAGATCTTTATGCACAAGGAAGTCCTTGGGTAGAAGAGACAGAAAATTTACTGGGCCCTCGGTACATAACTAGGGAAATCTATCGAATTTCAAGGGTGTCAATCCTGCCTCAGGTGGAGAAGTAGGAAATAAACGGAGATCCCATTTCGTGCTCTCTTGTCTTTGATGAGAAACTCCTGCTCAGATACTGACTTCCGGTGAGAACTTAGAGACAAAGACTGAAGCTGTCCGTCAGAGGGTCTCTGACAGGTCTCTGAGGAGGATGTCAAAGTCAAAACATCCGAGAGGGTGGAGTATTTTTACATAAACAGTGTGGAAGACAGGCAGGGAAGTGATCATTTCCTCTCCTTTTGCTTGGTTCAGCCCCACTTCCTGGTCCCTGATCTTGAGAGCCTTGCACAGCTCTGGAAGCTGTTGTAGAAGCCGTGAGGTGCTGTCGTTACTGTGATGTTGTTGTTATTCTTATTCTTATTTCTTACACTGTTGGAAAACAAACTCCAGGCCTCCTGCATGCTAGCAAGGGCTCTACCATGGAGCGCCTCTCTGAGTTCAAGATTGAAATAATCTTTTAACCTGCGGTGTTTGTTTATGAAGAGGGTCTGTGCCTGTGTCACTGTACCTGTGTGGATGCAGATGGCTGCTGTGGGGAGGTGGGCATCTCCTTCCACGATGCGGATCCCTGGCACTGAACTTAAGTTGCCAGGTTTCCTGGAAAACACCTTGTCAGCCTTCATTAAATTAAATTAAATTAAATTAAATTAAATTAATTAATTTAAATTAATTAATTAAATTAAAGCAAAAACAATAGTGTATTTGGTCCATGGGAATAAGAGACCCATTTTAGGTTAAAATGTTTTATGTGATGCAATTTTTTAAGTGTATATAATAAAATTTCCTATTCTAACTCTTTCAAGGGTGCAACTGGTTCATTGAGCACACTGGTCTCTTCCCGTTGCCTCTCTACGGTTCTGTCTCCTCCCTTACAGACCCACGATTGGATGGTTTGGTACCAAGCTGGTAGAACATTTTCTCTTGATCACTAAGCTAACACCTAGTTTAACATCTTAGCACTTTTATAAGATGTGGAATCTACCATGGGTCCTAGTGCCATTCCCCTGAGGACAGACAGACAACTAATAGACAAATTTTCATCTTCTTATACTGAAATTTTAAACAATAGCTTCTGTTGTGCTT